AGCTCGATTGCACCTAACCCCCCAGCTAGCACGCTTTCCAAAACCCTAAACCCTAAACTCTGTGCCATGGGCCATGGCCATAGGCTTGCCTGGGTCCTGCGGCTGATGTGCCATCGCGGGATCTCTTTCCAACGCTCGGGCTTGGGGCCCAGTTCCTGCATGGCAATGGCACCTTTGCCTACTCCCAACCCACAAGGCCCACAAGGCCCTATGATGATCGGACGAATGACTGAGGCTCTCTGTGCCCGTCCAGGGGCTGTCGGACATGGCAGCCGACCTCAGCTCGGTCCTCTCCTTCGACTTCGCCCCTCTTCTGACCCAGTGCGCTGGCTGCGAGCCTCTCGCTGTCGGTTGTCGACGTCGTCGACGTGGTTCAGCTTTAGGGGCGTTAATTACCGAACATTGCTACACATGAACTGGAGTATCATGATGTCGTCGACCAGGGGTAGCTCCTGTCGAGCAGGTACCAGACACTCAATGCACAGGCCGCTCCCGCCGCAGTGTTGATCACTTTGGCATAGCTAGACTATAGACTCGATGCAAGATCCTTTGGATGCGCGCTGTCGGGTTCGGGTGGCTGGTGGCTTTATACTCGAGTAGCCTCAGCCTGTAAAGACAAAGAGCCCATGCAGCCTTTAGAAACCCCATAAGCCAGTGGACACCCCTTAAACCCTAAAGCCCTAAACCGCATAAGCCCTAAACCCCTAAACCCTAAACCCCTAAACCCGGAGGCACAGAGCTCGGCATCCACGTTCACTCCAACCCCGGCCGATGCGACTTCGCAAGCAGCTCTGCAGCATGGCCCGTCTCTCTTCAGGGTTTATAGGGCTTATAGGGCTTATAGGGCATATAGGGTTTATAGGGTTNNTCTCTCTCTATCTCTCTGTCTCTCGGGGCTTTCCAGCCCTGAGGGCTGGTTTTCGAAGGAGTACAGTACCTTGTTGAAGTGTCCTTCTGTTTTGTGATGGCACATGTCAGGTGTACACCTGCTACACGTGGATTTCGCTCGCCCAGGCTGGCCGTTGCGGGAGCCGTGGTGCGGAAACTGACATTCAGGTGATTTCAGGTGGATGTCACATAAGGTGTGAACTTCTAGCTGTGATGCTCGATGTGTCGAAACCTGCACGCCATCGTCGTGATCACCGAAGTTACCATCAGCATCATCTTTGTGTTCATCACCAGCATCACCGGCATCAGCATCATAGCATCATAATCATCTTCATCTTCTCATGCCGATCCCCGTCCCGTATCATCCCATCTCCCCTCCCCCTTCTACCTGCCTCCCTGCCGCCGTCCTTCCATCCCTCCCTGTCTCCCATCCATCCATCCATCCATCGTACTCATCACCGCATATTACCGCCATTGAGTTGTCATCATCGTGAGAAGTGGCAGCGAAAAGCCCCCTCGAACGTCAAAGGATGTCAATCCTTGATCCCTAAAAGGAGAGCGCCCGGAAGCCAAACGCCAGGAGAGGACAAATCGGAAACCCGAGGGCTGGTGGTGGTTAGTCCGAAGGACGCCTCCAGAAGAGCATAAAAAAGACACCCTTCGAAGGACAGAAGAGTTGTGTCACCCAAGTGATTCAAACGAAACGCCTGCCACAAAGGTGGAACAGAAGCCGGCTTTCCCTCCCAGCGTTGAATTAAGACTACCCACAGGCCCCATAGTAGTTCCTTTTTTGGATTACCTTATAGGATTCTCTATATGAACCCCAAAAAGGGAACTACTTGAGGGCTTATGACTAGAGTTACATCCTCTTCATCTCCGCCCTCCAGGCTCCGACCAGCACGTCCTGCGATTTGCCAACGTGCCGCGTCTCAATCGAAGTCTCGAAGCCTTGTGACCCTCAAACCCTAAACCCCTAAACCCTAAACCCCTAAACCCCTAAACCCTAAACCCCTAAACCCTAAACCCTAAACCCCTAAAGTGGAATCCTCCAGTCCTATGGCTGGCAAGGTTCCAGGCGAACATGCAGACTCTGGCTCAGCTGGCTCTCCAATCCGGGACAGCCTGGCATGTCCGAGCCATGTAAGCCAAGAGTAGCTTCTTCGTCGCCTCTGGCCGCCAGGCAAGATGTTTCTGCCGCACTTGGGATCATCAGGCAAATGGCAGTCGCGACACCTGAGCGCTATGGCTTTCGCCGAGTGATCTTCCATTGCTTGCTTTCAGGCAACCTCAAAGTACGTGGCAAAGCACTTTGTCCGACATGCAGGCGGCCGACCCACCTCCCCTGCTACGAAACATCTTCTGTGAGGATCTTTGCAAGCGGGCTGCTGTACGTAGTTGTCCTTTGAAGCGAGCTGCCTGCCTGATCTTTGATGCAAATTCGCTGAGGCAGTGAGCTCTAAACCCGACGCAAGTGAGATGATGTGAGATGCCGAACCCCAGACCCTAAACCCTAAACACTAAACCCTAAAACCCAAAGAGAGGCGTTGACCGCCCACCCGAGCCTTGCAGCATTGCAAAGCGGGATGGACTGTGCAGAGGCCGGGCCCCCAAA